ATGGAGTTTCGCTCTTGTTGCCCAGGCTGGAGTGCAGTGGCACAATGTCAGCTCACCGCAACCTCCACTTCCTGGGTTCAGGCGATTCTCCTGCCTCAGTCTCCTGAGTAGCTGGGATTACAGAGCACGCCACTATGCCCAACTGATTTTTGTATTTTTAGTAGAGACGGGGTTTCCCAATGTTGGTCAGGCTGGTCTTGAACCCCTGACCTTGTGATCCGCCCACCTCATCCTCCCAAACTGCTGGGATTACAAGCATGAGCTACTGTGCCTGGCCTACTGATTCTATTCTTAGATGACAAGCCTCAGCTGGGCATGGTGGCTTACACCTGTAATCCCAGCTCTTTGGGAGGCAAAAGCAGGTGGATCACCTGAGATCAGGAATTCAAGACTAGCCTCATCAACATGGAGAAAACCTGTCTCTACTATAAATACAAAATAAAGCCAGGCATGGTAGTGCATGCCTGTAATCCCAGCTACTCGGGAGGCTAAAGCTGGAGAATCGCTTGAACCCAGGAGGCAGAGGTTGCAGTGAGCTGATTGTGCTACTGCACTCCAGCCTGGCGACAGCAAAACTGTCTCAAAACAAAAAACAGACTGGGTGCGGTGGCTCATGCCTGTAATCCCAGCACTTTGGGAGGCCAAGGCAAGCAAATCATAAGGTCAAGAGATCAAGACCATCCTGGCCGATATGGTAAAATCCCATCTCTATACAAAAATTAGCTGGGCGTGGTGGCACACGCCTATAGTCCCAGCTACTCAGGAGGCTGAGGTAGGAAAATCGCTTGAACCCAGGAGGTGGAGGTCGCACTGAGCGGAGATCACCACTGCACTCCAGCCTGGCAACAAGGCGAGGCTGTCTCAAAACAAAACAAAACAACACAACACAACAGAACCAATGCTTACTGCTAAAAACAGTACTTGAAGTATGTCCATTTCCTCACAACTTAAATCTGGATTAAAGCATCAAGACTACTTACATTTGGATCAATACAGTGAAAAAGATCAATTTCATTTAAATGCTTAAAATTATCACTTCCTCCAAGACAACTGTATAAAATAAAAAACAAAAGAATTAAGTCTCTTCAGAGAGTCTAAGATCAATGAAAAAGCAAGCAAGTCAAAGGTATTCAGTGTGTGAATAACTATTTTACATCATTAGATAAAAAGTTTAATTTACCTGAATGTAAGTTTGGATTTTTCAAAATTTACATTAACATCCTTACTGTCTTCAACACAAAATTCAATGAAGACATAGTCCCTTCGATCGTACCACTTTGCAGAAGCAGGCTGCCTATAAAAGGATAAAGTAAGGAAAGTCAAGCTGGAATTGATTACATTTACATATTAACCTTCAACATTTATTGTTAAGTAAACATATTTCTCTATACCATTATAGCATTATTTTGGGGTAGTTCACTACATTAACTACAGTTTTACCCTAATAGCTATATTCCAAGTTAAAACAGGGCTCTATGGCCAGGCGCTGTGGCTCATGCCTATAACCCTAGCACTTTGGGAGCCCAAGGCAGGCAGATCACGTGGTGAGGAGTTCAACTCCAGCCTGCTAACATGGTGAAACCCTATCTCTACTAAAAATACAAAAATTAGCTGGGACCAGTGGCACGTGTCTATAATCTCTGCCACTCAGGAGGCTGAGGCAGGAGAATTGCTTGAACCAGACTGGGAGGTGGATGTTGCAGTGAGCAGAGATCGTGTCACTGCACTCCAGCCTGCGCTACAGAGCAAGACTCTGTCTCAAAAGCAAAAATAGGGCTCTAACAATATTTAGTTTCAGAATGATTCCAATTTCATAACATGAGGGATTTAAAAACCAAACAATGGTTAAGAGAGTTAGCCTTATCTAGTCCTATAATAAAAAATTACTTGGCTGGGTACAGTGGCTCACACCTGTAATCCCAGCACTTTGGAAGACCAAGGCAGGCGGATCACTTGAGGCCACCAGAGCTTAAGACCAGCCTGCCCAGCATACCAAAACTCCATCTCTATTAAAAATACAAAAGCCGGGCGTGGTGGCTCACGCCTGTAATCCCAGCACTTTGGGAGGCCGAGGCTGGTGGATCACGAGGTCAAGAGATCGAGACCATCCTGGTCAACATGGTGAAACCCCGTCTCTACT